ATCTATCTATCTATCTATCTATCTATCTATCTATCTATCTATCTATCTATCTCTATCATCTATTGACTGATCTATCAGTTAGTCAACCATCTACCATCTGTCTAGATTATATGTGTGAAAAACTGAGAGTAGCTAAGGAGTTCTGGTAAGTTTTGAAGTAGTGTCTTGGTTGTCTTTCTTCTAGCCTCAAATTGCTTCTAAATGAGTGTTAACTTTTTTTTTTAATTATGAATTTTATTTGTAGGCTGTAGCTAGTATTTAGTTAAAGGTTCTTTCAGAAGAAGAGTCTGGGCAGGGTTCTTTAAGAGTCTTTGAGTGGTTTTTGTTTTATTTTCCTTTTATACTTCTGCTATGAAAAATTCTTAGAGAAACTTTGTTGATATTAGAGATTTACTAAATTAGATGGGAAAGATTCCATTTCTTTTTGAGCCTTCACATTCTGCAAGGAGATGTTCTGTGTTGTAGTTAAGAGAAGCTGATGAACATTAAATTGGAGTAATGTACAGTAGTTAGGGATCAGAATCTGGTGTGGAGCAGTGGACCATGAGGGGAAGCCTGGGAAGGTGGAACTGGGCTTGAAGCACCAGAGACCCAGGAGGGACAATAGGAACTTTGCATGCTCCCAACTCCAGGCACCTGTCAAGTAGCCACAGCCATCCATAGAGAGAATTGTGGCCATCAGTAACATAGGATCAATGCTCGTAAGTCCCTCCTCATGTAGACTTTTGAGCTCTGTTCCTAATAGGAAGCACCTGTTGTCAGACCCAACCCACCCTAAAATTGTATATAAGAAGGAATAAAAGTGTGTGAAAATTACTCCTTTGACTGAGAGCATCTGTCACAGGAGAGGTAACACTGCCTGGGAAGATACTGCTCTTGCAAAGCTTTCACCACCAGAAGCTTCCCTGCACTCTGCTTGCCCACTAGCCAGCCCTCCACCAGGGCTCAACTCCCTTGGCTCAGCTCAGCACAGGCAGTGCAGTGTCTTGCAGCAATAGTAGCTGCCCAGGAAGCAGCAGCAGCAGCCGCAGCAGCAGCAGCCGCAGCAGCAGCAGCCGC